AAGCATCAGGAATGTGAACACATCAGACCTGTTTGTTAAGTGCATGACACCGAGCTCCTAACACCACCAGGTAAAGCTACAATATGTCATTTTTAAGGTAGCGCTAACATGAAACTCTAAATCAATCCACTCTGCTCGACCCAGCGCTCCCTCTCCCTGTTCTACCACGACCACACCAGCTCTTGGTCAGAGAGGTCAATCCTGCTCAAAACCTTTTAGAAGCTAATATCTCTGTGCTGCTGCTGGCGTTGTTCAGTGAGTCTGGGGTCACAGGAGGCTTTGACAGCACCTCTCCACATTAAAACAGGTTTTAGAGCATATTTCTACAAAAAAAGTTACATATTGCAGCATAAAATTGGCTCTTCTGTGCAGCTGTTGTGTGTTGAAGATGTTGAAATGTGTGCATTCAGATTGTGACAATGCCGGAGTATCTGGGTCGTCGTTTCGGAGGAGAGAGGATCAGAACCTACCTGGCGGTACTCTCACTGATGCTGTCCGTCTTCACAAAGATATCTGTATGACGATGCCACACACTGACACACAAACGGCACAGTACTCTTCTTGGCCCACGCTGGTTGTTGATAGATGTGCTGTGTTTCCCTCACCAGACTGACCTGTACTCTGGAGCCTTGTTTGTTCAGGTGTGTCTGGGATGGAACCTCTACCTGTCCACAGTTCTCATGTTGGTCGTCACTGCTCTCTACACCATTGCAGGTACACAAATAACAAGGACATTATATTTGTAACTTTGTTTTGACCAATCACATGACACTTTAAGCACAGAAAAAGATTTTTTGCAGGCATGTAACTTGTGTTACATGTGTGTTATAAGTAAATGTTTCAGTTGACCAAACAAAAATATATTCTGTGGAGTGATGTTTAAAAACACACACTTCCTTTCAGGTGGTCTCGCCGCTGTCATCTATACAGACACTCTTCAGACATGTATCATGATTGTAGGAGCAATCATCCTTACAATCACTGGTAAGTGTCCATCATTTCAAAGCAAACACCAACTGTGCACACACATTTTTCAGGTGTACTCTTGAAACAGCTATTAATATAAGGATTGTATAGCCTTCCTGGTGTGTACTGTGTTCCTCTTTCACAGCCTTCAACAAGATTGGAGGGTATGGGAACCTGGAGCGGGTGTACAGCATGGCGACGCCCAGTAAGATCATTCCCAACAGTACATGCCACCTGCCACGTCAGGACGCCATGCACCTGTTCAGAAATGCCGTCAGCGGAGACTTGCCCTGGCCCGGCATGACACTGGGCCTTACCATACTGGCCACCTGGTACTGGTGCACTGACCAGGTACATCTACAGTGCACATACTGTACATATACAGGTGTATATGGTGTAGTTCCTCCACCGACTGTTATGGGGTTGCCAAAAAAGGCTTTCACTGACTTAAAGTGATTTGGAAAAAGTCCCAATTTCTCTCTTAGCATACATCAATAAATGTGACATCACTTTTTCTTTTGTTTCACAAGTTAATATCTTGTTTGGTCATGTGCTGTGGTGGCACTTTTCTGTCGTCTTGGTAGCTTTGCCTAGTTTTTTACATCAGATCAACTTGTGAAATGCAGTAATAGCAACATCCTGCCTTGTGAGCCTGACTTTAGTAAAAGTTTATGTAGTGTGTGACATTGTGTTGGGAGGGTTTCATTTAGATTTGGGAATCAATGGGAAAGTGAACGCAGCCGAAATGTTAAAATATGCCCACTGCATAGCAGTATGATGCTTCCTAAAGGTGATTTTGCTAATAATCTTAGCTTGTGTCTGTTCTCTCCAGAACAGCTATGTACTGCATGGACATTGTGTTGGGAGGGTTTCATTTAGTGTTTCCAAGGTCAAGAATGAACTTTCAGCCTCACTGTAGACTTTGCTTTTGTCCACACTCTTCCAGTCTCCATTCCACTAAGGCGGCTGCCTACACATATCTCAAACAAGGAAAAACAGGACACGCTCCACCCTGTTGCCCAGATGATGATTCTGCGCCAAACCCAAACTCCAGGCTTCAAAAATCTCTTGAGAAACCTAAAAGCTAAAATTATATTTTTCTGCAGCCTATGAGGCAAAGAAGACACTTAAAAATACCACAGTGTGCACAAACACAATCATCAGATTGTTCTTATTTCCAGATCAGTTGTTGCTGTAGGCTTGATTTGTGCTTTCACTTTCAGTGTGATAAACTTTCCTGAAATATAGAGATGGGTATCACAGCAGGATTCTTCAGTCAGCTGACATGGCTGAGGCAGTAGAGATAGGTCAGCAACAATCCATATTTTTATTCACAACATTCACTTTTGGTCCCACATCAGTGTTTAACAGTGCACATATACCTGGTCTCTATATCAGCACAGATACAACACATCTACCAAAACTATAGAAAACACAATAGCCCCCAATTGCGCACCAGCAGTAACAAATCACAGTGGCATCAACACTAGAGTCGGATTCTTAGAGGCATACATAGTCGGGTGATGTTGCTGCATATCATCACATTTGTGTATGTTGGACATGGAAAAACATTACAGTACACAATTCTGAATAAGAAAAGCAGTTGAGGTAATTTAGGAATATTTGTTCAGAGGGTTGTTTATATAAAGCTGAGGTGACTGAGTTGGCAGAGAACCACACTGCAGCTGACCACATCTGGTACAGTTATCATCTACAAAACACCCTGGCTTTAGTAGAAAGCACTAGTCTTTGATAAACAAACTGCAGAAAGCTGCGCTAAAAGGTCTGTTCATGCATGTTTCTAAACACAGCTGGTATATCATTATGATACATTACCATCATTAGAGTTGATTTCCTGCCAGATATCAGTATCTGCTTCTAAAACACATACATGACCACACTGCTCTACTGAAAACCATTTAGTCAGAAGCCTTTAAACCAATACAGTTTGGTTTGGAAGGTGACGTGATTCATTTACAAACAAGACCTCTTAAAACATATTAAATCAAACTGTCAGTTCTAGTTGATGTAGCCTTAAAAAGCCCTAATTAAATAGTTATATATAGTACGTTGAGCCTCAGGGTTTGCATACAAGGAAGCGTCATGCATGCCAGCGATAGAAAAGATTCCGTATTGACGTGTCACATTTCTTAGCAGGAAGCCATTCTCATTCTCATTCCCATGTACCTGCATCGATGCACAGTTCTACCTGGCAGCCTTGCTGTTTTGAGATGCTTTCTTCTGCGATGCTCCTCCTCGCCCCTTTAAGTGTCTAAAATTGCTCAGTTTTGTGAGAGATACTCCTAGTAACCCTGATGGGTTGGTTGGCGGCTGTTGGGTTGAGGCATGGTCCACTTTTTTGTAGCCCTCGCTGTGGTGCCGTGGCGAGTGGCCGGAGCGCATCTGTGCGCGGAGCTGGGATGAATCAGACTGCATTTGACCCTGCCAGTAACGGTATCCTCCAATCACAGGTACAGCGGCTCGGGCAGGGCGGTGGTAACTTCCTGGTTTAGCAATTATTACTTTAGGTCCTCGCATTCTCGCATCATGCTGCAGAGATGTCGAGGGCTGGAATAACTAGACAAAGAGAGGAAGCAGAGAGCTGAGTGAGGCATCATGAAGCCCAGTAGGGTTACACATGGTGTCAGTTTGTGTGGAACTCTATGTCGAGTCTGTGTGCACATTACAGGCCAGAATGTTTAGTCAGATCCAGCAGATTACTAGCTTATATTTCAATACACAAAAAGTGAAGAGAATTCAATTTAAAGTTTGACTTAAAGTTTGAACTGTTTTTGGAACGCTCTTCTGTGTGATTCTCTGCAACATTTCCAAAATTCATTATGCTTGGTAACTGTAATTTAAACACAGCGCTGCAGCTCTATACACTCCTGTCTATGCAACCTATTCAAGCTTCAGTTGGTTCAAAATGCTGCAGAAAACTACTCACAAGATTCAATAAAAACAGTAGATGCAGGGTTTATGTCTTTTGCAGAGTACCATATAAATGAAGTTACCATTATTACTGGGGGGAATTCACAAGTCATGTGTATGTCAGAGAGGTTTTATGTTACTCTTTATCATTCCAGTGGCTTAAGATACAGATGTTATTTATGGAACGCTGAGGTCCATCAATAAGGAGGGCATGTGTGAAGTGAGGTACTGTCTGGATCAGCACCCTGACTTTCATGTGCGTACGAGGAGGTTTAACCGGTTGAGTGCGGAGCCTTCCAAGGGTCCTCTGTTCTGATTATGTGGTTTAAGTTGTGAGTTGTTTCTTTAGTATGGTTTTGATATCCACTGTGGTATGAACATTTCAATAGGGGTGCAAGAATCACAATTCATATTGTACCTTCTCTGATTCTTAACTGATTCCCAAATGCTAAAAATCAGTTTCTGTAATAATGTTGACAAAAACGAAGAAGGCACAACTCATTCATGAAAACAAGTGCTCATCTTCTCTTCCGAACCTGATCATCAGTGATTCTTTGTGTTTCTGTATGTGAAGGTGATTGTACAACGGTCCCTGTCTGCTAAGAACATGAGTCATGTGAAAGGAGCGTCAATCCTGGCTGCCTATCTGAAGATGCTGCCCTTCATCTTCATCGTCCTTCCTGGCATGATTAGCCGAGCTCTCTATCCAGGTGCGTGCCCACACAAATAAGCACACAGTCAAACAGCTTTTAATTAACAGAAAGTGTTGTGACTTGCTTTGGCACCGGTAGTGAAACACACCCAGTGATTAACTTGTACAAATGTGTGTGATACTGCATCAGTAAGTTTCTTGTAACTGGACTATCACTGAAGTGTGCTGCCTACTTGTTCAAGATAAACCTTATTCCTGGGGAACTCGACACTTGTTTTGGCCACTAATTACTCATTAAACATTAAAAACAGTTCAAAGATTAAGTGTTGTGTCAACACCTATTTCAACATCACTGTTGTATTAAACTGTAACTAACACTTATTTCTGCTAATGTTCAACCTGCTGAAAACAAATACTGTGACCAACCTCATTTCCTAAAGCTCACAGTGTTATCATTATATTGTTTATTCTGTCCAACCATCGCTTCAAAACTTAACACGGTTATAAAACAAAGAAAAGCAATAAATTCTCACCAAAAAAAGAAGCAGGATCAGGGTATGATTTGTCATTTTTACTTAAAAATAATTATACATCTAGCTCTACAGTTTCAGTTTTTATTTTAGCTCACTATTTAATTGTTTAGGCTATAAAAGGTGACAAAATGGTGAAAAACTGCCCATTGTAATTTCACCATCTAGACCAACTGTCCAAAATCCAAAGATTTACACTGTTATAAAAAGAGAAATGTAGCAAATCCTCGACAAAGGATTTGAAATACTGACCATTGCGTCTACTGGATGCTCACCTGTCCTATGTGCCTGTGTGGTGAGGGTTGAGCTTGTCCATGGAGCTGTTGTGATTGGTGGACAGGGGCACTGCTGTCCTGTGATTGGCTGGACTCCCGCAGGTCCAGCATGCTCTGGGAAAGGCGGGCCATCATGTTGACCCCGTCTCCCAGGCGATGCCCACGACCGGAACCTGACGTCACTCCGTTTGGTTGCCGTTGGGAACAATCATAAAACTCCTCCTCTGACGCAGTGGAAGTACTTGAAGGGTGATCAATGGCTGCTCGGTCACATATGACCTTGGTGCTGTCTTGGCTGCCTTCTTCATTGCTGCCAGAGTCCCTGCCGATGTCCCTGGACATCAGGCGACTGAGGCCTGGTCTCAGGTCCAACTGGGTTCTCATATTACTGGAAGAGTCATTTAGATCTTCCAATTCGTCTTTTTGTATTAGTGCAACCTGTGGTTGGTCAGGCTGCTCTGTAGTGGCGGGGTCTATGACTAAATGCAGTGTGCGGCGTTTAGGAACAGGAGGTGCTGCAGGTTGTGTCTCGGGGGTTTGTTCAGCATTGTCTGTTGGCTGTAGATCAGCAGTAACACCGGATGGGGATGCGGGAGTGTGTATATTTAGCTCGCGTGGGTCTTGTGTTGGAGGTGTGCTGGCCTGCTGAGGGGGCCCTGTGGAATCTGTTACATCAGTGTGGTCTTTATTCGGAGTCGTTTGCTCTGCGAGCTGCTTGTTGGTGGGACTGACAGGAGTAGAGGCCACTGGACTTGTATTCTGTGCAGGGGTTTCGGCTGGTCCTGCAGTATTTGCATCACAGTGTGAAGCAGGCTCTTCCGTATGTACTGGTGGTGCACTGAAGCGCACAGCCTGACTGGTGTGAAACCTCTCAGACCTCTGTAGGTGCACCTTATTGGCTCGCTTTTCATCCGTGATGTTGATAAATCCAATCACATCGCTGGGCGGGTCTGGATCTGGCCAAGTGGGCAGGTATGCAATCAGGTACGCTTTCTCCAGATTGGCTAATCCTGGGTGTATGGGTGGCTCTTCGATAACCGCCTTAAGACGTCCATTCATTACTTTTAGTCCAGGGAGATTCTGGGCGTTTGAGTTCTTGTTGCTGGAATTTTGGTCAGAGGAGTTGGGACTTGTGTGGGTTCCTGCAGCAACAAGAGAGTATTTGGGATTGATGAGCTTCCTAGCAACGGCAGCAGGCATCGGCGCAGGAGCAGCCTGAGGGAGTGGGTCCGGGATCGGTTCGTCTACCATGGGAACCTTGCTGAGAGACACCCCTCTGGACAAGAGGTAAAGGTCACGGAACTGCAGGTCGAAGGTCTCCACTGCCTGTCCTGTGATCACAGTAATGAGGTTACGGTCCAAACGAGAGGAGGACCAGGTGAAGCTGAAATAATACATAAATGGAAACATAAATTCACAGCAGCCATTCCCCTATTAATGTGCTTATCTGTAAAACACTCAGAGTTCAAACATTTCTTCTACTAAATTTTATTACATCATTAAATCCAATTATAAAACCAATGATTAGGATATAATCAATACACAGAAACACACTCTGTAAATGCAACACACAGTTCACTGCTCACCTGTATGAGCCAGAGATGGCTCGGTCTCCATCTACGAGCAGAAACTTCTGACTCAGAGATCCATGCACCTTCTGTGCCAACCGCGTGAAGAACTCCACACCTCCGCAGCAGCGCACACGCAGATACTGCACATGCACACATTCATATGGGGTTAGTGCTGTGTAAACAAAGGCTCTTGGGGATTTAGTATTAATGGAAGGAAGAACTTTAGTAAACATAAAGGAAATAAAGGTGGAGAGAGCAGGGTGTTTACTTGTTGCTTAAGAGCAGCTCTTCTCTATTCATACCACTATGACCTCATGTTGGCTGCTGGTACAGGCTAGGGCACAGACTCTACCTGTGTATGTGCATGCTTGTATGACACACCCTGTAGTGTTTGTCTTTGGCCCTGTGATAAGGGTGTGGTTCCAGGCTGAACATTACTTCATAAACAAATGTACTGCGTGAAATTTCCCAGAAAACACCAACCATAGGAGTCGTAAATGCTCATAAAAACAGCAGAGATGGCAGATGAGGAAGAGGTTGAAAGAGAGGGGAGGTCTGGTGGTTAAAGCTGGGAGGAAGGAAGAAGGAGAAATAAAAGCGAAACATATTACAGAAGACAAAGTAAGAGCATTTTTAAATTGCCGGCAGCACAGACAAGAATGTGCTTACTGTCTTTCTGGTCCAAAAGATTTTAAAAAGCCCTCATGTTTTCTGTTACTCACTAGACTAGTTCAACTCACAGAGAGAAAGAATAACAAAGAAATTCAGCGAACAACTAGCTGGTGCATGTACCTCGGCAAGGCCCGCAGGGAAAAACCTGTTATACCAACATCAATCATGTGCTTGACTTTCAAATATTTCCTGAGTATAGTCATATACCTATTTCTGAGAATGAAACTATTTTATTCAAAATGTTGTAAACCATTTTCCTATTATTGTATACTTATAAAGAGTAGTCATTCATACAACTAGCTCATCTCCCAGCTTATGAAACATCATCTGGGTGTGTGTGTGTGTGTGTGTGTGTATCTCTATATATACCTTTAGGTGTCCACGGTGCATATCAGCTCTGCCACACATGGAAAGAAAACAGGGGACTGCAGCCATGTCAATGATTATGTATACAGGAATTTTGCGTTTGTAGCCGGCGTCCAGCAAGTCTCGGAAAATGTCCACATCCGTAAACACATCCATCACCACAGCTATTACCTATAAACACACACAGGAAACCACAAATGGTGTTAGTGTTTCCTGGTCTGTGTGGGTGGTTTTGATTCAAGCTGCTCTTATTAACAATAATAAACTCATTAATTCCTCAGAGGAAGCAGGGCACTCATGAGACCTGGGTTTGAAGAATAAATTAGACCCCTCAAAGAATGGTCCAGTTGTCCTGGGACTACACTGCTATGAACAAAGCGTGGTCAGTGTGTGACAGCATGGTGTTCTTCGCACAAAACTGGCATCTAATCCAGTTCTAAAGTTTAAAACTGCACCACTAGATAAAGTTTAGCTCCAGTGACTAATTAGCTGAAGAAGAAGTGAAAAAAGATGGTTACTGAATCTTGAGGTTAACATAGTTCACCATCAGGTTCAGTACATTTTGAGTAAATGCTCTTTAAATAGCTGAATAATTTCAAAACACCACATATGCAAACCAAACACGGGGAGCAGAGAGTTTGTAGTTACAAAACAACTTTAGAAAAAAAGCTGTTTTTGAGCCAGGATGTGTTGGCTCCGTGCCGCCTTCCAAGCAGTGAAAAAGTATTTAACACTGCAGTTGAGCCTAATTAATTTAAGTATTAAAGTTTCTTTGGTTACTCTGGGACACAGCTAGACTATATGTGCATGTGCCAGACAAAGGTGATGTACAAGGTGCTGGCACATGATAACGTCAGAGCATTTTTTCCACTGCCGTGTCAAGATCAAACTTGCTTCAGGCGTGTGTGCAGGCGTGGAAAGGGAAGTGTGTCAGACGAGGCAGAGGCAAATGGTGAGACAAAAAATGTGGCACTGGATTAGGTCCATTCAGTCCAAAGAAGCCAGCAGCGTTACCCCTACCGTTATATTAGGGGTGCACCCCGGCCCCCCAAAAGCTGTAAACCAAGGGGAAACACTGAGCCAGTATCAGATTACTTATATGACTTAGCCTAGTGTGAAGAATATTAAAAAAATATAGAACCTCTAATCAAAACAATCATCCTTATTCTGTTAGTTACATAAAAACAATGTAAACAATGGAGAGAAACTAGAAGACTGTTGACAAAGGGCTGCAATTAACAATTATTTTCATCCCAAAAATTTTCTTAATTCAATTAATAAGGTCAGACAACAGTGAACTACACCCATTATTAACTACCCAGACCCCACGGTGCTACTGACCTGAAATATACAGCAACCAGAAAAATAATAAACCCATAATGTGTGTGGTGCATTCAATAGCACTGCAATACATATCTCCTTACTACAGCACTGTTGAGCCTATTACTGTGTCCGTGTGTGGACTGTGTTACATTAGAATCCATTTGGTCCACCACGTATACATGGATGGAGGTGCCGAGTATGGCTGCACGATATATCAAAAAAATATCGTTATCGCGATATTAGTATGTGCGATATGCGTATCGCAAAGACGTGCAATAAATTAATAATTTTATATTGTATTTTATGCGTTTGTTGCACATGTTTGGTGTCACCATTCCACAAATGTACGAGGTATGTGTAGTGACTGTAAAGGCTGAGCTGCAGCAAGTGGACTTTTACGCTAGCACCACGGACCTGTGGTCCAGTCGCACCACCGAACCCTACATGAGCTTTACTGTTCACTTTATCAGCAAAGACTTGAACTAACAACACGCTGCCTGGAAGTTGCATATTTCCCTGAATCCCACACCAGTGAAAACATAGCCACTGCTCTGCAGGATGTTTTAGCAAACTGGGGCTTGAAAGAAGAGAAACAAGTGTCTATTACAACAGACAACGGCGCTAATGTAGTAAAAGCTACCGAACTCAACAAGTGGGTCAGACTACAGTGCTTTGGCCACCGCTTGCATCTGGCCATTGGTGAGTGTTTATGGTTTATATTTTGTTGAAAAATGCACATATTTAACATGAGATTTGTAAATTTAACATAATGTGTGATTTGAAATAATTTG